AATTATATAGATCTTATATATGTTGCACAAAACACTGGGGCAAGAACCAAAATGTTAGGCAGTGGTATTCTAAGTAATTTGTACTTTATTCTTTATACCTTTTGATATATTCCAAATTTTTACAAAAAATCCAACCCTCCTCACTACACTTTTTTGTTTTTGAGATAGGGTTTCGCTGTCGCCCAGGTTAGAATGCAGTGGCCCAATCAGAGCTCACTTTAACCTTGAACTCTTGGGCTCAAGTGATCCTCCTGCCTCAGCCTCCCAAGTAGCTTAGGACTATAAGCATGCTACCACACTTGGCTAATTTTTTTATTTTTCTTTTGTAGAGATGGGGTCTTACTATGTTGCCCAGGATGGTCTCAAATTCTTGCCCCCAAATGATCCTCCTGTCTTGGCCTCCCAAAATGCTGGGATTATAGGCATGAGCCACCACACCCACGCCCCACTACACTTTAAATTTTCCCAATTACCTTGGACTGCTCTGCCCTTGAATAGTGATAGAAATACAAGTTGAACTCTTTGGCACATTCTGGTTTCAATTCATACATGCCTCGTCCTGTTAATCCAGGTTTCCTACGAAAGAAAGGGCCTTAGAATATTATTACTAAAGCCATACATTCATGAGACAGTCTTGGATACTAGAACAAGAAAGCAGAGCTCATATACTGTTGGTGGGTGTTAAGCTAAAACTATTTCCTGTGGGTTAATTTGGCAATCTAAATCCAAAGCTCTATGCACATCCATTTTATCTAACATGCCCACTTTGAATTTATCCTAACTGGACAAGTGGATGTGATGGACACTGCAGTGGCAACAATTTAAAAGTCTAACAACAGCAAATAGGTTACATAAATTACATCTCCAAACAACTGAACACGATTAATAGTGACATTAATTTCTCTATTTTGACATATAAAGATGTCTGTGATAAATTCTATTAAGTGGAAAAAAGCAGGTATAATATTGGGGTTAAGAGAGCCTTCCTAAGCAAGTTACAACACCCGGAAGTCAAATAAGATAGAAAGATATTCAAAAACATTCGTGTGAAATGATGCCATAAACGAAGTTAAAAACCAAGTGA